GATAAACATTGTATTGATTGGTCAGGTTGGGTTAGGTGTCTCAAACATCCAGGACAATGCCCGGGAGGTGCAGTGTCTGAGTGTTTAGTGCGACCTCCAGTACCATAGCTCTTGCGTTTCGATTCTTCAAGTGACAGGTAATCAATGGTAATATGTATGAAAAACTTTTTAAGTAATACTCATGGCTATAGCCATTTTAATAGCCAGTAATTTTTACAGTGTAATTTAGTTGACTGTATCACTGCTCACAATACAGTAACTATTATGTATTGTTTTAAAGTTTCTAACCGTAATACAAAATATTTACACCTAATTGTAAAACCTGTTAGACACGTCTTATCTCTGACTAATAGCTAACGGTCAGTAAATACTGTACTTATTGTTATTGATAAGATGTGTCTGATTAGATTTTTTTATTACGGCATAAACTTTTATTCACTTATTATTTTATTTTATTCACATCTACAACTACTTTGAAACTTTGTTAAACTTATACAGTAGTCAGTCTAGTTAAAAATTACTTAACAATTAGTGTACTGTACAGTACATAGCAATGCTTTTAAATAACTATGAAGTTGGAATTTTCTAATGAATTATTGATACTGTATTATAATGTTGATCATTTACACATTCGGTACAAAACTTTGATGAAAGTTATTAAACAAATACCGGTAAACTATCAATTACCTGTCTACTACTACTACGAAAACTTGTCAGATTCTCTATGGAATCTATACATTCTGTAGATATGAGACTCATATTATGGGTATAGTTTACAGTACATCCTAATAGACAAGGATTAAATACTTGGACACTCTTTCTATCCATAACTGTATGCATATTATGAAACCATTTATTGATTAAAGACTATTAAATAAATAATAAATGAATATTAGCACTCAATGTAACAATTCTCACAGAATTTCCAGAATATGATGTGCAGTGAAGTGGTTGTGCAGTGAAGTGGTTGTGCAGTGCAGTCACTATTAATACAGTGAGTGACGTTTGCCAATGAAATGCTCACATCATTGATGTGTTGTGTGGTGTCAGCCATTGAGTGAGTGTTTGGCAGTCATTGTGTCAGACATTTGCATACAATCAGTGAAACAGTGAATCAGTTTTTGTTGATTTCATTGCAATTATAATCGATTTGTTTGATATAATAACACATTATTTGTGACATTCATTGAAATAAATATAAATTTCATTGAATTGTGGTTTTGATTAACACTTTCGGTGAGTAGTAGTGAGTGAATGGGTGTGCGTTGTATTGACACCAATGTGTGTATAGTTTTCAGGTATATAAAGATATCACTAACTAATGGTAACTCCGATGAGTGGTCAGAGTAGTGGTGAACCCGAGGCGTGGGCTAAAGCGAGACAATCGTTGGCAGAAGTGGTGCCTCAGAGGGGACCCGCTGTACCCACTCTCTCGGTTTCGCCTCAGACGCAGATCTTCTACAACCCGTGGACACAGTCTTCGCCCTATGGGTAAGGGAAAGCCTACTATGGGAAAGCCCTATGCTTTCTATTGGATTGCATTTAATGGTAATTATTATAATGATATGACTATTTCTTTCAATACAGTACTCAATACGGACGCAATTACTACAACTTCAACGCCCCTCCCGTCCCCTCCAATCAGTGGAACAACTCTTTCGTATCACAAGTCCCTCAAATGCCGTCAATCTATGGATCTAATGGTCAAATTGGATCCCAAAATAGCAATTCTGTCATCACTTCCCCCTTAGGATCGAACCAAACCTTGAACTCAATGAAGGCAACCAACCCTTCACTGAATCCCATAACCCC